TAAGAGAGAGAGAGTGAAAGAAAAAGCCTTTTGTGTATTTTGGTTGCCTTCTGATCTTTTTTTCAATCAAAGCTTTGGTTTTTAGAGGCTCAGGTTTCCAATCTTGAACCAGAAATAAGATTTGGAGGTAGCGTTTGTGTTCTTCCTGGTTTCATACAACCTGCTGATTTTTACGCTGTTTCTTTCCCCACATTCATTAACTCCCACTCTGTACTACTAGCGCGTGTTAAACAAACGCTTAACTTTTGCCATCGCACCGTTAACAGAGACGCGTGTTTCTACCTGAAGATTAAGAGCGTGGATATAATGCTGGCTTCGATTTGATGAGACTTGAATTCTTGCATTATTTCTAGTTGTCCTCGGAAGCATCAGAACGTCGTCACCTACCTTAAAAAGGCATCTCCACGTGTTCGTCAACCATTGGATGAAAACCTTCAATGATTTAGGGAAAGATATCTGAAAGTGTCTCCATGCTCCATCAAACTTTCAATTAGGGTTAATCTCACATAATTTTTTTTTTTTCATATTTTTACAATAATATTTTTATTAACTTTCTCTAGGATAGTATTAAGTACATATGTATTGGTTTGACTTGAATCATTAATCCTACAAGTTTAAGAAATAAATTTTATTATAGGTTAAGAATTATAAATATGTAGCATTTTACTAATATATCTTGAATACTTCTTTCATACTTTTATTGTAATAAAACAATTTAACAGTAAATTCTCATAATTTAATTTATTTTTTTTTTATGATAGTTACTACATCTTGTGTATTTTTATGACTAATCAATCATACCCACTTATGATAATAGTTTAAGAAATAATTTATTTTAAATAAAATATAAAAATATAAGTATTAGAAACATACAAATTATTAATAAATTATTGACTTCATTTGGTTTGAAACCAAATTAATATATGGTGCAATTTTTTTTTAATATTTTAGTATCCTTTTAAACCTAACTTATCCATAGAATTAGCGGTTTTCACTACCATTTTGAGCTTTACAACTGAAAACAAATACATTTGTTAAACCAATTTCGAATCCAATCCAAGTTCACTTGGTTTTTTCTTTTACTAAAACTAACTTTAGCGAATAATTTGATTTCAAGCCTGAATTAAATTAGTTCATTCCACACGTTAGTCAACCTCGACATAATTTGTTAATTCTAGCACTAAAATTTGATATTAGCTTGACCTGTACTAGCTTAACATACTTCTTTAGTTTTTGCCTTAGGCATTCACCAAAAATTGTCAACAAGCCTTAGAGTTCTCCTTTCAATACTACTGATAATAATAATACACCTAGTGACTGTAAAAATTTTAATAGAAAATTTTTTCATTGTAAATAAGAAAAAATTTCACATATATATAGTGACAAAACTTTGTTTCATCAAAAAGCGGGTCATCAAAAATAATTGTAATACTTTCTCTATTGTCGCTAGAAGTATATAAGTCGGTGATAAAATTTTTGTAACAAATGATATTATACTAATTACAATATTATTTGCCGGAAATATGAAACTTCATCAATAATAAACTTTTGTTAATATTATTTGCTTCTATTTTGTTGATATAAAAAGAAAAAAATTATAGTGGAACAATTTTATTTACTTTATAAACTATAGTGGGGTTAGTTCCTAACCCTTGTAGTGGAAAATTTTTTTCACCATGTTATGTAAACACTTATCATAGTCAATGTTTTTTTTCTAAATGGGGAAGCCAATTAGTGATGTTAAAAAAGAAAGATCCTTTATAGGATTATATAAATGTTGAGGTAATCTTGTTTGTTGTGTGTTTCTACTAAGAAGGACAGATAATGACTTTAATTTTATCCCCAGATATCCCTCTAATACACGAATTAACAAATAAAAATTAAATATATAAAATATAATGTGAGAGTTGAGAATATGTCAACTTAACATTTAATGATAGTAGCCTAAGACATGGACAATAACAAGTTAAAATTGTTTTCCATTTATTTTTTAAGATAAGATAAGAAATATGATTTGAACTTGAATAATCAACTCTATAATGAAAGCATTATATTAATTGAGGTAGATACTCTTGCCTACATTGTTTTCTTAGTGAATTAAGTATGAATTTTGCATATAATTGACATTTTCTTTTCCTTTTTTTTTTTGAAGTTTTCGTTGACCAATTGATAACTTATTAAAGTCAAAGCCATAAAGAACAAGTATTACCCAAACAATTCTCATCAATATGTATTTCTCTAATTACCAAGATTAATAACTTCAATACCAAGTTTACATAAAATTGTTTGAGCCATTTATTCCACTTGCCTTTGAGAATGATGCCTTGTTTTGGTTAGTCATGGTTTAATTAATATTTGCTTGCTCATTTCGAAGAGAAAAACATATAAAATTTTCAAAGTATTAAATAGATTAGGAAAAAAAAGTTGTCAAATTTGCAAATCGCAATTAATATATATCAATACTTACACTATAAGACACATGTTACTTATTACAAATTTCTAGATAGTGTTTAAAACGTGCCATCATGATTTATTCATCTAAATTTGGCAAACCATATGGCCTAATAGATTTTTGGATAAAATTTGGACCTTGACATGTGTTGTATTAGAAAAATCTTTAAACTTTACTGGCTTGGAAAAATTGATGCTTAGTGGTAGAATTAGTACTTGATTGGGATCATAATTTTTTTTAAAAAATATGCAAATCTACTAAATAAATTTAGCTTAAGGGTATTTTTAGAATAAATGGATTTTGTTTGTGAAATTTATTTTAAGATTTATATTTACTTTAATTTTAAAAACATTAAAAAATTTAACACTAATAAAAATAAAATTTTTAAACAATTTAAAATATAATTAAAACTTAATGCCAAAATTTTGGAGTTATCATAAAACTCTAAAATGGTCTCAAAATCCAAGAACTATCCTATAATTGTACTAGGACTCTACCATTTTACTTAAACTTCCAAGCTTGTCATAAGATTTGAGTCTTGGCACAAAGTTTGGAGTCATTGGAGCTTTCCCAAGATAACAAAGCTATTAGTCTTTATTTCTTGAGAAAATTTTTTTTTTTAAAAAAAGGCTCATTATTTATGATACTCTTAGTGTACCAAATAAATAATATTGTATTATAATATTTATCTTCTCATTCTGTAATTTTACGAAAATTTCTTGTTAATTTAAAATTTAAGTATCAAGTTTAAATAGTGGTTGAATAATATGAATCTTTTTATCTCGAGACCAACTTAGTAGTATTTGATAAAAAAAATAGAAATTCTCTTAATATTGATAAAGTAATTATAAGTCCAAAGAATTTTGACTGTGACCACCTTCTCGTTGTTTCAATATATATATATAAATTAAGAATTATGCTTAATGGTAGAGTTATTACGTAGAGAGTCAAAGAATAATGTTTTTTTTTTTCTTTTGAAAAGTTGTAAAAAAAACAAAGGAAAACCCATTTGAATATTTCAGTCTAACACCACTAAAGTTACTTCACCCATTTGGGTCCACCACTTGGTGCTTTAACCTGTCACTAAGGAATATTCCAATTAAAAGCTCATCACTTATTTTTATTGATTTTCTTGATATATATATATATATTTATTTAACTATGGTTATTATTTGTTATATTCACCATTAATCAACTATATTAGTCATTATATTTTTACCATTGTAATTGTTGAAAAACTTCAAATTAAAGTGTTTGAATAAATAAATAGTTCGAGATGCATTGCACCCATTTAATATATGATTACCCATCCTTAACTGACAAAAAATTGATAATTATTTGAAAAATGTAATTGATTTGATGTCCTCCACCAATAAAATCGATCTAAAATAAAACTAAAAAAAAATTTATAAGTGAGTTTTAAGATTAGATGAAATTTAAATTTGAATTATTATTTTTTTGGTAAAAATATTATGTTTTTTTTTTTTTTACTGAATTTGTAATCATAGTTTATTATGACAATAATATTTTATCTCTTCTTATGATATCCATCAATTAATTCTAAAAAATTTAGAACCAAATAATTTGGTCAAATTAATAAATACTCTTTTATCCAATGTATATATATATTATATAATATAATATTAAAAATAATAAATCAGAAATATAAAAATCTTAAGAAGCAAAGGTGGCACGTAACCTTTAACAACTCAACTAAACATATATGTGGTGTTAGAATTAGTTGCCAATTAAGGTAAAAAATGGAAGTGTTTTATGTCAACGAGATTTACCAAAAATAGAAACTGAGAAAATAATACCAATACACCAATAAAAAAAAAAAATTTCTTAGAGATTGTGGGGAATTAGATTTGCCTACGACAACAAGACCAGTGAGCAGTGGACACGTTTCAGCACCAGAACTCACCGTTTTCTGCTGGGGAAAAGCAATTTGTCTGTTGTGAGAGAAAATCGGTGAACAGCAATTTCCAAGCAACTGTTGATGAAGATACTATTGAGATAACAGTGCCAGGTGACGCAGAAGGTCGTACATGTAAAAGACGGCGACGTATCTGAACAGTGACCCGCCCTGAAGGGACACGTGTCGAGAGTAGACATAGGGAACACGGAACGTCAGTCAATCCTTCTTGTTAGGGGACGGTTGTCGGACGCGTGCTGCGAGAAGCTACAAACAC